CTCCTAGATAGAGTGAATTTAATTGTGGCTGAATGAGAGGTATAAATATATAAAATTATGATACCGTATTAGTTTGTACACAAACAAATTATGTCACACTCCAGCAGGACATAATCATTAAAATAAAAGTACTGTATTTAAGAAGTATTTGTATTTCATGAATTATATTATTGCATTTGGTTTGGTACTTTTACTCAAGTATCACTTTGTGGTACTTTATACAACACTGCAATAAAGTCTTTTTGAATTGAATTTTAATTTAATTGAATCAGGTCCAAGGATTCCAAAATGCTTTACATTACTGTCATTCACCCATTCATACACACATTCACACACAGATGGTAGTAAGCTACATTGCAGCCACAGCTGCCCTGAGGCAGACTGACAGAGGTGAGGCAGCCATGCACCGATGCCATCGAGCCCTCTGACCACCACCAGCAGACATGGCAGCAGTGGTCACACTAAAACACATTAATCAAAACAGCCAAAGATAAAACCCAGACAAAAGCAGTCAGACGTGATTACAGAGAGCAGAAACTCCAATGATGACAAAACTGAGTGTTTTTAATTTGAGTYTTTCTTAATCGTTCTACAGATAATTTACTGACTTGGGTAATCCCACTGTTCTTATGCCGACAACCTGTCTTCAGCTTTGTTCCTAAAAGGATCCTCCTTAGTGTCATGTTTGAGGTGCAATGACTGTGTTTCAGGACAATGCCAGAATTGGAGATGAGTTCATGAGGCAGATCCAGTCCATAGCAGCCTACGTTCCCTACATGACCTGTCCAGGCAACCATGAAGCTGCATAGTAGGTGGAAATGAATTATATGTCTCTCTTTCTAAACTCTTAACTCTTAAACTCTTACATCATAACAGCTTCACTGATCAGTGAGTCAACACTAAAACTTTCCCTCTGATCTTCTCCTTTGTCTGTGCTGTTTTGTTCAGATCACAGAGGCATGTGCACAAACTTCAGCCCATGCTGTTTTTCATTTCTGTGAGGCTGTTTTGTGTTGTCAGCCACAGTTCTGGTACCAAACAGAACACACACTTTAGTTCTTTAGAGAACTCCACGCTTCTTAAACAGATGGGAGTTATTTTAGTTTCTTAGTGTTGGAGCCACATCAGCAAACCACCACCATCTAATCAAGGCTCCAAAACAAACGTTTATCTGTCTGGGGTTAATTATTGGCCTGAGGTTTGTTTTTCACTTTTTTGGATTTAGCATGTGATAGCAGGAGCTCTGCGTGTGTTTTTAGGGTTTCATTTTTTGAATAAGCCCTGATAATCTTCTGTGGAGAGACATGATGAGGACGGAGTACAATGAGATAATGTTTCACAGATTAAACTTTTACATTCTTGATTTTAAAGCTAATTCAAGCGTTTTTTTAAAGTTATTTTGTGTTGAATGTGACAATTTGCTGCTTATCAATGAGATTTTGTTTGATAAATTGACACTTGATAAATAAACTTTTTGAATTAATCTGATTCTGTAAATTTTAGATTTTTAGACTTCTTTGGTTTGGTCAAGGGGACTCAACAATTTTAAACTGTTAGATGAAACAAATTTTGGCAGACTAAACTACTGGTAGGATTTTTACAGTCTTGTATAAAGTACCTCATACTTGAGTATCTTTAATTTCACAATAAAAAAATGCATAGCAAAAAACAAAACTAAACTAAAAATATTGTATATTTCACAATTATTATATTTCATAAAAACCAATGTGATGGAGAATTGCCAAAAACCCTCAATGAGCTTAATAAGTGGCGATCTTCATAAAACAAATAATTTAAAAACATTTACCTATTATATAAAACACACATTTCTTTATATAAACAACTAATGACTTTTAGAGAAACAGTACGAATACTTACCTGAGCTAACAGTAACTGGGTAACAGTAACTTTCTTATCATAAAATTACTTTGGTAAATGTTAAAGTCTCCTCTAAGGATAATACTTAAGTAAAAGTCTTAAAGTGTCCAACATTTAGTGTACTTAAACTGACTGTGACGTGCATATCCATGAAATACAAAAGGTCAAAAAAATATATTTACTGTATATTTAAGAAACTTGGCATAATACACATGATTTGTACCATTATGACACATAATTGGCATATTTTCTTTTGAATTTTGCTCAACTAAAGTGAAACAGGAAGTGACATCAAAGGGGAACGCTTTGAGAAAGAAAACTCAGGTTTTTGTTTATTGAAACAATAATATTTGAATTATAATTCTTTCTCATCTCTCTGATAGTGATTAAAATATTCTAAAGAAACACCAGATTCTTCTCTACAGTCTGCGTTGTTAGCCATTTTAGCAATGCTCTATTTACATGCAAACATTCCCCTTTGACATCACTTCCTGTTACTTCACATGCAAATATCTCAACAACTGTTCATCTCAGCTGTATGAAATCTTTTTTTACAATATGTTATCAATGTTATCTTTCCAAAAATACATTCATAATTATAAAAAAAAATTGATGTCACAGGCACTTTAAGCTTCAAAAGTAAATTTTGAATATAAAATATACCTAAGTATTAAAAGTGAAAGTATTCAGTAAAAGTGAATGG